TTTTTAATAATTAGAAGTTTCGATCGTGTTCTTAGTTACGAAGAAGAAAATGAACGAAACATCTTTGTAAATGCTATAATATAAGTAATAATAATTAACTACGTGAATCTGGTCGCGGTTTCGAGTTACTTGTTGGTGACTACGAGGAAAAGGACGTGTGGTTATGCGTTTTTATATCACTTTGACGAGATGCGAGTAAGAGATTTGTAAGAAAGAATTTTTTTCTACAGAAATCTATGTAGTTATAACAATTTTAAATAATACAAATAATTTTTGACAATTGTTCAATGCAATAAAAGTTAGATTTAGAATTTCTGCATAAATTTTATTAATATGAAATCTCTTTATACAATATTTATGGTAAATTTCAATTCTTTAATATATGTAGCAAAAGAGATATGATTTTTTAAATAAAATCAACCAAATCCAATTTTGTAAAAAAGTCGTTAAAATCACTCGAGTAAAATAAATCATAACCTTGGTTCTAATTAAGATGGAGCGATCAGCTTAAGCTTAAATTAAAGATCAATCTCTATAGAATATTTATGGTAAATTTCAATTCTTTAATATATGTAGGAAAAGAGATATGATTTTTTAAATAAAATCAACCAAATCCAATTTTGTAAAAAAGTCGTTAAAATCACTCGATTAAAATAAAACATAAACTTGGTTCTAATTAAGATGGAGCGATCAGCTTAAGCTTAAATTAAAGATCAGTCTCTATAGAATATTTATGGTAAATTTCAATTTTTTAATATATGTAGGAAAAGAGATATGATTTTTTAAATAAAATCAACCAAATCCAATTTTGTAAAAAAGTCGTTAAAATCACTCGAGTAAAATAAAACATAACCTTGGTTCTAATTAAGATGGACCGATCAGCTTAAGCTTAAATTAAAGATCAATCTTTATAGAATATTTATGGTAAATTTTAATTCTTTAATATATGTAGCAAAAGAGATATGATTTCTTAAATAAAATCAACTAAATCCAATTTTGTAAAAAAATGTTAAAATCACTCGAGTAGAAAAAATCATAACTTTGGTTCTAATTAAGATGGAGCGAATAGCTTAAGCTTAAATTAAAGATCAATCTTTATAGAATATTTACGGTACATTTCAATTCTTTAATTTATGTAGCAAAAGAGATATGATTTTTTAAATAAAATCAACGAAATCCAATTTTGTAAAAAAAACGTTAAAATCACTCGAGTAGAACGAATCATAACTTTGGTTCTAATTAAGATGGAGCGATTAGCTTAAGCTTAAATTAAAGAACAATCTTTATAGAATATTTATGGTAAATTTTAATTCTTTAATATATGTAGCAAAAGAGATATGATTTTTTTATATAAAATCAACCAAATCCAATTTTGTAAAAAAGTCGTTAAAATCACTCGAGTAAAACAAATCATAACCTTGGTTCTAATTAAGATGGAGCGCTTAGCTTAAGCTTAAATTAAATATCAATCTTTATAGAGTATTTATGGTAAATTTTAATTCTTTAATATATGTAGCAAAAGAGATATGATTTTTTAAATAAAATCAACCAAATCCAATTTTGTAAAAAAAACGTTAAAATCACACGAGTAGAAAAAATCATAACTTTGGTTCTAATTAAGATGGAGCGATTAGCTTAAGCTTAAATTAAAGATCAATCTTTATAGAGTATTTATGGTAAATTTCAATTCTTTAATATATGTAGGAAAAGAGATATGATTTTTTTAAATAAAATCAACCATATCCAATTTTTTTAAAAAAAACGTTAAAATCACTCGAGTAGAACAAATCATAACTATTTTTCTAATTAAGATGGAGCGATCAGATTAAGCTTAAATTAAAGATCAATCTCTATAGAATATTTATGGTAAATTTTAATTCTTTAATATATGTAGCAAAAGAGATATGATTTTTTAAATAAAATCAACCAAATCCAATTTTGTAAAAAAGTCGTTAAAATCACTCGAGTAAAATAAATCATAACCTTGGTTCTAATTAAGATGGAGCGATCAGCTTAAGCTTAAATTAAAGATCAATCTTTATAGAGTATTTATGGTAAATTTCAATTCTTTAATATATGTAGCAAAAGAGATATGATTTTTTAAATAAAATCAACCAAATCCAATTTTGTAAAAAAAAACGTTAAAATCACCCGAGTAGAACAAATTATAACTTTGGTTCTAATTAAGATGGAGCGATCAGCTTAAGCTTAAATTAAAGATCAATCTCTATAGAATATTTATGGTAAATTTTAGTTCTTTAATATATGTAGCAAAAGAGATATGATTTTTTAAATAAAATCAACCAAATCCAATTTTGTAAAAAAGTCGTTAAAATCACTCGAGTAAAATAAATCATAACTTTGGTTCTAATTAAGATAGAGCGATCAGCTTAAGCTTAAATTAAATATCAATCTTTATAGAGTATTTATAGTAAATTTCAATTCTTTAATATATGTAGCAAAAGAGATATGATTTTTTAAATAAAATCAACGAAATCCAATTTTGTAAAAAAAAACGTTAAAATCACTCGAGTAAAACAAATCATAACCTTGGTTCTAATTAAGATGGAGCGATTAGCTTAAGCTTAAATTAAAGGTCAATCTCTATAGAATATTTATGGTAAATTTTAATTCTTTAATATATGTAGCAAAAGAGATATGATTTTTTAAATAAAATCAACCAAATCCAATTTTGTAAAAAAAACGTTAAAATCACTCGAGTAGAACAAATCATAACTTTGGTTCTAATTAAGATAGAGCGATCAGCTTAAGCTTAAATTAAATATCAATCTTTATAGAGTATTTATGGTAAATTTCAATTCTTTAATATATGTAGCAAAAGAGATATGATTTGTTAAATAAAATCAACCAAATCTAATTTTGTAAAAAAAATGTTAAAATCACTCGAGTAGAACATATCATAACTTTGGTTCTAATTAAGATGGAGCAATCAGCTTAAGCTTAAATTAAAGATCAATCTCTATAGAATATTTATGGTAAATTTCAATTCTTTAATATATGTAGGAAAAGAGATATGATTTTTTAAATAAAATCAATTAATTCCAATTTTGTAAAAAAGACGTTAAAATCACTCGAGTAGAAAAAATTATAACTTTGGTTCTAATTAAGTTGGAGCGATTAGCTTAAGCTTAAATTAAAAATCAATTTCTATAGAATATTTATGGTAAATTTTAATTCTTTAATATATGTAGCAAAAGAGATATGATTTTTTAAATAAAATCAACCAAATCCAATTTTGTAAAAAAGTCGTTAAAATCACTCGAGTAAAATAAATCATAACCTTGGTTCTAATTAAGATGGAGCGATCAGCTTAAGCTTAAATTAAAGATCAATCTTTATAGAATATTTATGGTAAATTTTAATTCTTTAATATATGTAGCAAAAGAGATATGATTTTTTAAATAAAATCAACCAAATCCAATTTTGTAAAAAAATCGTTAAAATCACTCGAGTAGAACAAATCATAACTTTGGTTCTAATTAAGATGGAGCGATCAGCTTAAACTTAAATTAAAGATCAATCTTTATAGAATATTTATGGTAAATTTTAATTCTTTAATATATGTAGGAAAAGAGATATGATTTTTTTAAATAAAATCAACCAAATCCAATTTTGTAAAAAAGTCGTTAAAATCGCTCTAGTAAAACAAATCATAACCTTGGTTCTAATTAAGATGGAGTGATCAGCTTAAGCTTAAATTAAAGATCAATCTTTATAGAGTATTTATGGTAAATTTCAATTCTTTAATATATGTAGGAAAAGAGATATGATTTTTTAAATAAAATCAACCAAATCCAATTTTGTAAAAAAATCGTTAAAATCACTCGAGTAAAATAAATCATAACCTTGGTTCTAATTAAGATGGAGCGATCAGCTTAAGCTTAAATTAAAGATCAATTTCTATAGAATACTTATGGTAAATTTTAATTCTTTAATATATGTAGCAAAAGAGATATGATTTTTTAAATAAAATCAACCAAATCCAATTTTGTAAAAAAAATTTTAAAATCACTCGAATAGAAAAAATCATAACTTTGGTTCTAATTAAGATGGAGCGATTAGCGTAAGCTTTAATTAAAGATCAATCTCTATAGAATATTTATGGTAAATTTTAATTCTTTAATATATGTAGGAAAAGAGATATGACTTTTTAAATAAAATCAACGAAATTCAATTTTGTAAAAAAAGCGTTAAAATCACTCGACTAGAAAAAACCATAACTTTGGTTCTAATTAAGATGGAGCGATCAGCTTAAGCTTAAATTAAAGATCAATCTTTATAGAATATTTATGGTAAATTTCAATTCTTTAATATATGTAGGAAAAGAGATATGATTTTTTAAATAAGATCAACCAAATCCAATTTTGTAAAAAAAACGTTAAAATCACTCGAGTAGAACAACTCATAACTTTGGTTCTAATTAAAATGGAGCGAATAGCTTAAGCTTAAATTAAAGATCAATCTCTATAGAGTATTTATGGTACATTTCAATTCTTTAATATATGTAGCAAAAGAGATATGATTTTTTAAATAAAATCAACGAAATCCAATTTTGTAAAAAAAACGTTAAAATCACTCGAGTAGAACAAATCATAACCTTGGTTCTAATTAAGATGGAGCGATCAGCTTAAAATTCTTTAATGTTTGTAGTACCAGAAATATGATTTTTTAAATAAGAAGAATCAAACTTAATTTTGTCAAAAATTTTCATTGAAATCACCGTAATAGAAAATGCCATAACTTTGTTGCTAATTAAGATGAAGCTATCAAATTAAGATCAAAAGAAAGATCGATTCGAACAATTGCAAAAATGATTTTAATTTTTTTTATTTTAATAAATTGTTATAACTATGTATTGATTCCATTTTATTAATTGGTGCTCTACTTGTGTGCATTTCTCTTTAAAGATAACTTTTAAATATCATACTGTTTTAAAGAAAGTTAAAAACAAGAAACGAAATAAGTCAGCAATTAGAACGTGTTATGTAAAGATATATTCGTTAATAACGAGCTTTGAACGAGGATAGGAGGCTATTATCACTTTCGTCTTATAAATAGTTACGGTAGTATCAGCGGCAATAGTATTATTAATCATTTCATTATTATTATTATTATTAATAGCGGTGAGATTCGTAGTATGAGTATGAATAGAAGGCGCCGTAACTTGTTGTGAGCGGTTGCCCCGTTCTAACGCGGGGCCAGTCCAAAAAAAGCGGCGCAGCGCATCCCCGTAAGTCCAAAGGAGCATCGCGACCGCGCAGAGGAGAAGATGTGAGGCAACGGTCCTCCTCCTTCTCCTTGACGGGGAGGAGGAAGCCCTGGATCAGTCGATCTCGTTGCTTTCCATAAAATGGGCTCGCACCTCCAGGTGAGCCGCCAGATCCAGCACCAGGTGTTGTAAGGACGGATGCTCGAGGAGCTCCGCTTCCGGTAGCGGCGGTTGACACCGAGGCCTGTACTGGCGACCCCGAAACCCACGATGGAGGTGTAACACCACGTCGCAAAATACGTACCGTAAAAGAAGTAATCTTAAGAAATCGTCACCGAAGAATTGAAGATACGATGATTCTATTTCAAAAAAAAAAACAACAATAAAAAGAAAGGGATCTTTATGATACTTCTTTTTTGATTATTCTAAATTTGATTACTACATTTGTTTCTACTCTACATACCTTCAGCATACTCACCAACTCTAGATCTTGTAAAAAGTCTTGATGCTTCAGTAACGAATCTATCAACGAAACTTTGACATCTCTCCCAGTGATGGATTGGTATACTGGTTAAGTTGCAACAGTAACAGAATGCTGTGAGTGGTGAATGAAGGAACAAAGTGAACAAAGATCCATTATGCTGTTGATCTAAAAAGAAAAAAGCATTAATTTTTTTTTAATTTAGTTTTAATTTTACCTTGAAATGCTGGTGGTATATCTTGAGGTGACATCAATGTGACTAAAGGTTGGCCAAAATATCTTGGGATGTGTTGAAATACAAAACTATTGTCCGAATCGACGATGACGAAAAGAGGACGTCTGGTGAACGGGTATAAATCACCCGGATATAAACAATGGGCTTCTTTTTGTTTTTTATGTTCGCCTTCGCGTTTTGAGCTGGTTAAGACTCCTCCAAGATCGTATCCCACTTAAAAGAAATTAATTAGAAAAATTACTTTAATAAGATTGTTTTATTTACTATCTTCTGGATGTTTAACAGTCGAAAAGCACCCATCGGCGGATAAATATAAAAGAAGAGCACCGTTCGTTGGTAATTCTTTAAAACCACTCGCTAAAAACACTAAGACTTGACTTAAAGTTGGTTTATATAACAAGTATTTGTGAGGGTTTTCTCTTCTTGATGGTCGCTCTCCGTTTTCCATAAACCTAATAATTAAAAAAAAATAATATAAGTACGAAGGCTTTCATGGCCGGTGTGAATTAAACTAAAATTAGAACTAACACTAGAAACTTTCGGGTTTTGCCGTGCGTCTTTTAATAAAAGGTTTGACGTTTCGGATGCCATGTTGCAACCTTCTTCAGAAACTGGTTCGAAGTGACGAGATCAAAAATCGGTAACTATATATAAGTCGGAAAAAATAATTAATATTCAGTTAACGCTAATTACAAGCTAATTAATAACTAATTGCGTCGCGTCCGGTGTGAGGCGGGAAGTGGTCTTCGTGTTCACCACCATCTTCCATGTTCTGCTAAGCTCCCAGCCATCCTCTCTGTTGACGTTATTTTTATGTCGGTGGATCTCTATGGCTTCTCTTGTCAGTCTTTGGTAGTATCTGTTGTCCCTA